GCGGGAGAGCGGAAGCCTGGTCCTCCTCTCTTGAGAAGCACGCACGCTCCTTGTGGAGACGAGCTTCTGCCACCAGAGGAACAGCCTCTGCCCCGCCCGCAGCCTTCTGCTGCCGGGTTTGCTCTCAGGCGTGAGAAACAGTGAGCCGTTGCTACCTGGGCGAGGATCCTTCTAGCGACGTTTAACTCCGCAGCCCCTCCTACTCGCAGTACCAAGTTCAACAACGGCCATTGTTACAGTGTCCGCACTTCAGCCTAGGTTCTCCTTTTTGCCCTGGGTCCAGTCAGCATCTTACTTCATCGACCTTTCCTTCCCCACTAGTAATTATAGAGACTGACATATCATGTCTGTAGACGGATCAATCCGTGAGTGACCACAGGCCATTCTAAGGGTCAGCGTCCCAATAAGCAGAAACCATCCAAATGAACCCCTCTGTCTGAGTCAGTGTTGATCCGGTGCTGTGTTCAGGATGTGCTGATGGCTGTATTGCACAGGACGAGCAGAAAACAGGTCACTGATTGTTCTCTCTCATTTGCAACCAAAAATTTCAAGGCAAAACCTTCAATGAAAGTGCCCAAAAGCGAGTGTCTGCCGCTGTGGGGCTGACGCTCCTGGCTAGGGAGCCACCACTGGCCTAGGGCCGTCCTGACTGGGAGAACCAAACGCTGAGCTCAAGTGGATAATTCCGCTTCTCCCCTGTGGAGCTCTTGAGAGTCATCAAAATCCCTACTAAATGAAACCACCCCAACCCAGCTATCACTGTGACTACTTCACCTGCAGGGGGGCAGGGTTAGCTAACTCACTGTTTGTGCAGGGGATGATCTGGGCAACCAAGGGCTGACCAAAGCCGATCTTGTCTCACACCATAAATGGGTCCAGAGCAGACCCAGGTCGTGTACAATAAATTGGTTACTCCTGCATCAGGAGTACGTGTGTGTGTTTTCAGGGATACGTGTGTCTGGTGTGTGTTAGGGGAGGAAGCGTTCTTGTTTGAGTGTGTGTGTGTGTTTATTTTTCACTAACTCACCTGCTAAGATGATGAATATTTCCTTTTTCTATGTGGTTTATATTAATTACATCAAATTTCTTTTAAAACATTAGTTTTGTCATGCCTTAAGCACTACACAATGGTTTCTGAAGGGCATATATTTTCACTTTTTTATCTTTTTAAAAATCTTCTTAGCTTCCAATATGTAAGTCAAAGACACAAAGGGACTAGTTCTAATTAGAGGATTTTGTGGCTTTTCTACAGAACCCTAACCACATCCCTGCCAAGCGATCCTGTTTTTAACTCTACAAGGAAACTCAGAGCAAGGAGCACTGGGTAGATTCTGGAAATGATTATGACTCCTTGCAAAATGCCTTTAAAGCTCCCTTCCCCTATCATCACATGGAACAACCGC